TAAATAAATAAATATTCCTGGAGTTATCGAATGCCCATGCTTGGGAAGAAATTATTTTTTGTGATTAAACAAATATTGAGACAGTAAAATTTATCAGCCAAAACTGCATTACATAATGCCAGAGTTTGATTGACACAAACTCGACATGCACAGTCCAGCACATGGTTTCCAACTCAGAGATACTCTCTCTCTCTCTTCAGTTCAAACGTTGCACTTGAAAACACAGAGTGAAATATTAGGAACTTAAAACAATTAAACAAACAGAAAAATTACAAAAAAACACTTTACAAATTCATTTGTAATATGTACAATAAAACAGTACTTTTTAATTTACAATTAATGATTACTTTGTATTCTACACTTCCACACTAGTGGCGGGCAAGCCATCTCAAAACTCAGAATAAACTGCTTCCTGCATAGTGCAGCCATCTATTGGCATTTTCCCGTTTGTTAATATTAATGTGCCAACAAAATAAATGAATGAATGAATAAAAACATAAATACAACAATCCTTAACAATAATTGTAGACCATTACAATTAGCTGGCGTTTAGAAATCATACAGAGACAAACAAAACATTAGGAAACAGACAGAAAAATCTTTGTTGCTGCAGTGTGCCTACAAACATTTTACACCCTTTTGAGAGTTATTTACAATAAAAAGGCTCGTGTGTTGAAAGAAGCAATGTGTATACGCGCGCTGTAGTGGGAAAGATCTGGCAAATGTGAATAGGAATTCTCTCAAACTTACATGAAATGAGACAAAAATGTTACTGCAAATGAAATTTGAGTGATATTTCGAGGCCGATCTTCCTTCAATCAGTCAGACAGAATGAGTAAGTTGTTAACAGTACGGGGAAAGAAATGTGGATTTTATGGGATTTCTGTAAATACGAATAAAACTTCGTATTTACAGAAACCAGAACTTGACACTGAAAAGAACGAGGGTTAAACCCGAGGCTCCAGAATGTTCCCATTCCGAGGAAAAGAACGAGGGGCCCGAGTTTTAAAAAAAAGGCAGGTCGCCGCACACTCGTACAAAGGTATGATGTTGTCAGACCTTCGGTTTTCTGAAATTTGAAGGGGCCATTTTAAAAGGACGTTTTCCTGAGGATGCAGTGGGTGAGTGAAGTTTCTGCTTTTTGGATATATTGTGGGCCGTATCCTGCAAGTAGTGCCATAGCAGGCCAACCCGTGGCGAGGGCGGAATAAATTCCTAACCACAAGCCTATCTGCAAAAATTAGTTTAATATCTTGACGTCATGTCGACGTCGTATCAGATATTAAGCTGATAAGAACAGATACTACACTTTGATCTTAGCCAAAAGGCCGAGAAGCGAGAAGAATGCAGATTCATTCTCTGGCGTGATGAATTCACTTTCAATTTCAATTTTCATATTTCAAAAGTCCTGAGCATTCGTGCAGGGGGAGAAGGGGGTGCAGAAGACTCAGGTTAGCGAGTGCTGCTTGGGGGTTTTTTATGATATGATATGTCGTTATTTCATCCTCCTCCTGTGTTACAAAAAAAGAGGTGTACAAGGATGACCAATTTCTGTCTAGTCAAGTGGATCATTTTTTGCGGTCCTTTCTAATGTTCCCATTCTGGAGGCGTCAGTCCCCTCCTCCTTGGGCGGGCTAGCTTTTTTAAAAAGCCAAGGACGTCAAAAGTTCATTTCATTCAAGATTCAATTGCAAATTTTATTCTTACTACAGCAAATGAACCACAATGCTGAAATATCCTCACAGATATTTCTACAATATCGCAATAACTTACAGTAGTTATATTGGACGTTTTACGGAAACGTTGGCCGGAACAAAATTCAAAGTAGAAAAAGTTAATCCGATCTCAACGCGAAATCGCTACAGTCAATAACAGCAGTAAGTAAACAACTGAATTCCGGTGTTTTCCTCCAGCTTTTATAAGCTTATGCACCATGCAACATAATATTCTCGTATTTTCTCAATTTTTTTTCAGATGGGAAAAGAGGACAATGAAATATTCATGAAAGTGTTCATTTCTCTGGAGTAGCTTCCTCCTCCGAAAAATCTCATTCTTCACTGCAGGTGAATATAAAACAAATGTAATTACAAAGGCAATAAAAATAGCAAAACCAAAAATAAATAAATAAATATTCCTGGAGTTATCGAATGCCCATGCTTGGGAAGAAATTATTTTTTGTGATTAAACAAATATTGAGACAGTAAAATTTATCAGCCAAAACTGCATTACATAATGCCAGAGTTTGATTGACACAAACTCGACATGCACAGTCCAGCACATGGTTTCCAACTCAGAGATACTCTCTCTCTCTTCAGTTCAAACGTTGCACTTGAAAACACAGAGTGAAATATTAGGAACTTAAAACAATTAAACAAACAGAAAAATTACAAAAAACACTTTACAAATTCATTTGTAATATGTACAATAAAACAGTACTTTTTAATTTACAATTAATGATTACTTTGTATTCTACACTTCCACACTAGTGGCGGGCAAGCCATCTCAAAACTCAGAATAAACTGCTTCCTGCATAGTGCAGCCATCTATTGGCATTTTCCCGTTTGTTAATATTAATGTGCCAACAAAATAAATGAATGAATGAATAAAAACATAAATACAACAATCCTTAACAATAATTGTAGACCATTACAATTAGCTGGCGTTTAGAAATCATACAGAGACAAACAAAACATTAGGAAACAGACAGAAAAATCTTTGTTGCTGCAGTGTGCCTACAAACATTTTACACCCTTTTGAGAGTTATTTACAATAAAAAGGCTCGTGTGTTGAAAGAAGCAATGTGTATACGCGCGCTGTAGTGGGAAAGATCTGGCAAATGTGAATAGGAATTCTCTCAAACTTACATGAAATGAGACAAAAATGTTACTGCAAATGAAATTTGAGTGATATTTCGAGGCCGATCTTCCTTCAATCAGTCAGACAGAATGAGTAAGTTGTTAACAGTACGGGGAAAGAAATGTGGATTTTATGGGATTTCTGTAAATACGAATAAAACTTCGTATTTACAGAAACCAGAACTTGACACTGAAAAGAACGAGGGTTAAACCCGAGGCTCCAGAATGTTCCCATTCCGAGGAAAAGAACGAGGGGCCCGAGTTAAAAAAAAAGGCAGGTCGCCGCACACTCGTACAAAGGTATGATGTTGTCAGACCTTCGGTTTTCTGAAATTTGAAGGGGCCATTTTAAAAGGACGTTTTCCTGAGGATGCAGTGGGTGAGTGAAGTTTCTGCTTTTTGGATATATTGTGGGCCGTATCCTGCAAGTAGTGCCATAGCAGGCCAACCCGTGGCGAGGGCGGAATAAATTCCTAACCACAAGCCTATCTGCAAAAATTAGTTTAATATCTTGACGTCATGTCGACGTCGTATCAGATATTAAGCTGATAAGAACAGACTATGTACAATCAAGTACAGCGTGCAACAAGAATTTAGTATATCATTACAGAGTAAAAATGTATACGTGAAGTGCAATACAGCAAAAGTATTACAAATTGTAGATTATATACATGAAATAAAACATAAAATATAAAATATAATATATACAACTGATGGTGATGCGTAAATGTGACATACATCATTTTCTTGTTTTAACATACCGTGTTGGCTAAGATTGCATGTCAATGTTCACTAGTCAAAGTTCATGTGTCAAAGTTCATGAGTCAGAGTTCAAACAGTCCAGGATTTGCAAAAGGCACAAGTTCGTAAGAATTTACAGTTCGTACCTAATTTTCATTTGCCTGGGAGTGGCTTTGTTCATTATTTGGAGGATTTGCCTCGGTGAGTAGTGTGACTTCACTTCTTCCACTTAAATGTCCAACGTAGATATTCCTGCTATGGCGGATTACATCGCTGACGCATAGCATCCGAAGGAGGCGGGCATAGGAACGGGAACAGGCGATGTTGATGAATTTATCATTCGCACGATCCCATGACCCCAGTGCACCTATGACGAATGGAACGATCACGCAGTGTCCACGTTCTTGGGCGATGGAAGCACGGAGCATTTCATATTTTTCAAGCTTTCTGGCTCTCGCTTCAGCAAAGGCACCCAAGTGGTTTTCGAAGGGGATTGTAACGTCAATGAGGAAGTGTTGTCCATCCCTTTCAACAAGGAGGTCAGGCCTAAGCCGTGAGGTGTTAAGGGACTGGTCCACAGAAATGATGTTGAAGTCTCTCTCACACATCTTGATTAGGCGATCGACAATCGCATTGTGTCGCTCTTTGTAGAGGGTTGAGTATGCCATGCAATGATCTAAAACATGTGGGAGAGTTTCTCTGTCGGCTCCACAACGGCGACATCTTGGGTCAAGGTTCGACCATGGCTTGGCGCCATTAAGGCTAACAAGATTCAGTCGGGCCTTATGGACGAACCTCCAATCAGCAAATCGAGTGTAACTTCCAGATTGCAAAAAGTGGGTGGAGGCTTTTGAGGCGGCAACACATTCCAATGTTTTTCCTTGATTGGGGAGAGACAGGAGGCGTTCATCTCTGACGGATTTACAGGACTTCCTGATCGAGGTGGCAATATTGCGGCGGTGTACTGCTGTAGCTGAAAAATCACCGGCTTCGATGACAGGGAGGCAATTCTGAATCGTCCACTTGACCTGCAATCTCCTGGAGGCAGCACGAGCAGCAGTCCAGATGTTCCCAATACGGTTGCTGCTTCTACGGAATTCTCCATCAGTAGTGCCAGAGAGGAAGGCAGCAACATCCGGGTCCTCATCCCGCAGTTGCAAGCGATGTCTCACAGTATCGTTTAGATCCTCCCAGGCCAAAGAACGTACAAAGGTGTCACGCGAAGTCAGAAGCTTGAACGCTGTATCTATCGCAAAGATATCTGATTCCTCAGCAGCCATCGGCAAGTTAACAGCTCCACTGGCCGGGCTTCCATAAAGGTAGTCATTAGTGGCACGGTGAGGGAGATAGAGAGTGTCTTTCAAAAGCGGTCGTAAGACCTTGTCGAGCTTTTCCCACTCTCCCTTAGGAATCTGGGATGTGCGCATTGCAAAGGTGAAGGATGGGTACAGGAATGTTTTTAACGGCATCCAATCTCTGCCAGGGTGCCAATTTTGATGTCAGGAGTCTCCGTCCATTTCCAATGAACCGCTCGATGCTGGAAGGAGTGCCACATTCTCCCAGGAATCCAACTGGCTTTCCCAAAAAGTCGCAAGTCTCTCCATCATTGAGGTGGCGGATGGGCTGTCCATTGATGTTGAACTGCGTGGGTCGAGTGCCAGCAGGTCTGCAACCGGTCAGGTGAAGGGAGGCGCACTTAGTTCCATTAATCCCAAGCGAGAGTAAGTCACATGAAGTGGAGAATTTGTTGATCAGTGACTGAAGCTCAGCAGGTGAGGAAGCAAGGAGGGCAACGTCATCTGCATATGCCAGAATAGCACCGCTGTCCGAAGAGGCCGTGTTCCAGAGAATGGGATCCATTGTTGTGACAAAGAGAACGCCACTCAGAGGATCACCTTGAAGGATGCCAGAGCGAACTGGGATGGGGGGCGTGGTACCGTCGTTTGACACGAATTCAGTAGATACATTTTCATACATGTCTTTGATGATGCTACAGAAGTGATTTCCAGCACCAATGTACTCAAGAGTGTCAGAGATAGCTGAGTGTGGGACGGACCCGAAGGCGTCAGCAATATCCATCCACGCAACACAAAGGTCTTTTTTCTGTGTTCTAGCATCATTCATCTTCTTTTGAAGCAGGAAGTTGTTCTCCACAACACCATCAAATGGGCGAAATCCCTTTTGGCCTGGGTGGAGGATGTCATTGCATTCAAGCCAATCGGACAGTCTAGTAGCAAGGAGGCCAGAGAAAATCTTTGCAATAGTCCGACAAAGTGAAATCGGTCGCCAGTTATTCGGGTCGTCAGGGTCGCCTTTCTTGTAAATCAAGATGCTCCTAGAGTTCTTCCAAGAGTGAGGGATTCTACGGAACCGAAGGCAGATGTTAAAGAGAACAGTCAGAACGCATCCCTCCGGGTCCAGAGATCTCCAATGGTTGTAAGTGAGTCGATCCGGCCCAGGTGCCGTGTTCTCAAATCTTCTGAGCCTGGTAATAACCTCAGCTTCAGTGAAAGGCTCCATATTAATCGGCGAAGAGATCTGTGGCGGGGATCTAGAGTTGAGGATGGAGTTGTTGAAAGTTCTGTCCGTCCTGGTGTGGCTAAAGTGTTCCTCTAGGCGTGAGAGGGGAATTTCACAGTTCCTTGAATTGCCAGACATAATAAGCCGTGCCGCCCGCCTTCTATTCCTTCTGTAAAGCTTCTGTAAGGCAGTGGCGTCATCAATATTTACAGGGGCCCGCTGGGGAGTGGGAACAGACGACTGAAGCCTGCATTCCCCCTGTGCAAACCCGATGATCTCATTGAGTGTGTTCTGGAAGAGGTCCCAGGAGTCATTGGTGACCTCGCTGTTCAGGATGTTGTCAAGGATTGGCAGGAAGCAGGAAAGGGCACTGGAGGCAGGAGGGGCCTGTAGAGCAGGAGCAGGAGCAACAGAAGCCAATGGGGGGCATGGACTTGCAGGAGGTAGCACAGTCGTCACGGATGGATCAGGATTACTTGCAATCGCTGGGGCAACATCATTAGGACTGGTAGTAGAAGCCCGAGGAGAGACAGGAAGTACAGCTGAAGTGAGTGTAGCCAAGTTCCTGTTCCTTGCATCCTGTCTTCTGTGATACATCCGGTGATTGTCAAGGCCCTTCCTAGAAGTGAAAGACCTGTCACATAGCCGGCATTGGAATCTACGTTGTACTGAAGAAGTCTCAGACTGCGACATAAGGTGTAGTCCATTTGCGAGGCAGGAGTGGTGTGACGGTCGTCCACTTATGGCGTTGTTGCAATGGAGGCAGAAGTATTTGACTGAATGGATTTCAATATCATGGTTATTAAGCAAATGCCTTTCCAGTGATCTTCTCTGTGCAGTCCACTTGCAACTGCTGTAGGCAAATCTGCATCCAGTCTCTGTGCAAACGAAATTCGGGGGAATGGGAAAGAAGACAAGCAAGGATGACTCCTCTCGAGAAGGCTGGCGTGGGACTGAGTCAGTAGGTCCATCAGCAGCAGGAGAGCCACCAGCAGGGTCAGATGAGCAGCCAGGACGACTGACAGAGGCATCCTGAGAATCCTCATTTTGAGTCCTAAGGTACCGGGGGGAGGAGCTCCCATCGGGATCATCCGGCAAGGAGACATCAGCAGGGTCAGCAGGAGAAGCAGGGGGTGAAGCAGACGGTGCAGGTGACACATGGGCAGAAGACACGCAGTGAGGGCATGGAGCGCAGGAGGATGCTGAATCGGACGGACACTCAGACTGTGGAACAGGAGAAGAGGAATTGCAACCCGTTGCAGAGGAAGCAACATTCACAGGTGGATAAGCGTGGCCAGCAGCAGTACGTGACCTGGTGTGATGGCAGACGGGTGATTCACCGGTGATGTCATTTGGTGCGCAGGAAGAAGCCTGAAGGATGGAATCATCATGTAGAGTCCGGGAGTCATCACTACGGTGCGTTCTGATGTGTTTTTCAAGTTTTCTTTTCTGCGAGAAGGCTTTCCCGCAGATAGTGCAGACTCTTGGAGAAGTATAACTGCGAGGACTGACATAAGAAGACATATTCTGAAGACTATTAGAGGGAAGCAAAGTATCCAAGATCTCCCCCGGATGACATGAAGACGTCAAGCTGGATGTGGAAGAGACATGCATTGTGGGAAACTTAACCGCAGCAATAGGTGAGTCATGTCTTGTAGAAGTGACAGCAGTCAACGGAGGGGAGGGAGCAGTATTGCTGGCCCGAATTCTACGGAGAAGCTCACAGATTTGACCGCTTCTTCCCAAGGGTGGAACTGTAGGCGTAACAAAGGCAGCAACATGACGAGGAGCACCAGGGGGTCCAGGAGGCGTGTCCAAAGTAGACAGTGGACATCCATCAGCAGGTGGCAAAGGATGAGGCGTAGAGACATTGGTAACCTCTCTGTGAAGACACAGTCCATTAGCGGCACTCGAATCCAGCAACGCATCATTGGGGACAAAAGTGGTGGCACAGGACTGACGGGAAGTCAAACTGGAACAATCGGGCTGTACAGGTAGGGAAGTGAGCACTCCAGGAAAGGCGCCATCACTCGCAGCAGGCCTGGGCGGGGAAACTCCAGAGACGAGAGAAGAAGTGTTCAGGAGTCCACTAGGGAGGTCGGAGGAATCATCAGGGCATCTAGCAAAAGGTGGAGATCTAGAACCAGGGCTCCGGACATCAGGGGGTGGTCGAGGCTTCGGCCGGGCAGCAAGGCGATGTGGAGACGACATCATCAACGTATCCTTGAATCGTGTGAAGAAATCCCAGAAATGCAGGAAAACAAGAGGCCTCTCGGCAAGATCAATCTAGGCAGCATGGAGTTGGGAGCGTCCAACAAAGCTTCAGCGAGTCAAAAAAAAAAGGGGGAAGAGGGGGAGGTGAAAAGTGGAAGAGCAAAGAAGGAGAAAAGAAGAAAAGGAGTAGCCACACCCACAATTAAGAGGGAGTTAGCAGAAACGAAATGAGAGGGCTTATCAAAGCAAGAAAGACACTGCAAGCAGTGTTTTCCTGAATGGGAAGCAAGAGATAATAGGAAGGAACCACTTCCTTACTGAGAACGACTAAAAACAGCCGAATCAGCAACAAAAGGGGGAGGGAAAGGAAAGAACCGTACAAACACCAAAGTATGCTGCAAGCAGCACATTCAGTGCAGACAGGAAGGAACCGCTCGCTCACAGGTAACCTGCTCGCTCGCAGAGGATGGGAAAGGGCCCCATTGAACGCAAGTAAGGAACGTAATCGAACCATCAAGCGTCAATGGGAGAAGGGGAAAAGAAAGCAAAAACCATACTTACAGACCGCTTTAGCTCCGCTTCAGCTCCGTTCTCCAGAAGAGTGAAGTTAATCCATCAGCAACATTCCACTGTGAAGATAAAAATAAATGAGTGCACAATTAAGCTGATAAGAACAGATACTACACTTTGATCTTAGCCAAAAGGCCGAGAAGCGATGCAGAATTCTCTGGCGTGATGAATTCACTTTCAATTTTTCATATTTCAAAAGTCCTGAGCATTCGTGCAGGGGGAGAAGGGGGTGCAGAAGACTCAGGTTAGCGAGTGCTGCTTGGGGGTTTTTTATGATATGTCGTTATTTCATCCTCCTCCTGTGTTACAAAAAAAGAGGTGTACAAGGATGACCAATTTCTGTCTAGTCAAGTGGATCATTTTGCGGTCCTTTCTAATGTTCCCATTCTGGAGGCGTCAGTCCCCTCCTCCTTGGGCGGGGCTAGTTTTAAAAAGCCAAGGACGTCAAAAGTTCATTTCATTCAAGATTCAATTGCAAATTTTATTCTTACTACAGCAAATGAACCACAATGCTGAAATATCCTCACAGATATTTCTACAATATCGCAATAACTTACAGTAGTTATATTGGACGTTTTACGGAAACGTTGGCCGGAACAAAATTCAAAGTAGAAAAAGTTAATCCGATCTCAACGCGAAATCGCTACAGTCAATAACAGCAGTAAGTAAACAACTGAATTCCGGTGTTTTCCTCCAGCTTTTATAAGCTTATGCACCATGCAACATAATATTCTCGTATTTTCTCAATTTTTTTTCAGATGGGAAAAGAGGACAATGAAATATTCATGAAAGTGTTCATTTCTCTGGAGTAGCTTCCTCCTCCGAAAAATCTCATTCTTCACTGCAGGTGAATATAAAACAAATGTAATTACAAAGGCAATAAAAATAGCAAAACCAAAAATAAATAAATAAATATTCCTGGAGTTATCGAATGCCCATGCTTGGGAAGAAATTATTTTTTGTGATTAAACAAATATTGAGACAGTAAAATTTATCAGCCAAAACTGCATTACATAATGCCAGAGTTTGATTGACACAAACTCGACATGCACAGTCCAGCACATGGTTTCCAACTCAGAGATACTCTCTCTCTCTCTTCAGTTCAAACGTTGCACTTGAAAACACAGAGTGAAATATTAGGAACTTAAAACAATTAAACAAACAGAAAAATTACAAAAAACACTTTACAAATTCATTTGTAATATGTACAATAAAACAGTACTTTTTAATTTACAATTAATGATTACTTTGTATTCTACACTTCCACACTAGTGGCGGGCAAGCCATCTCAAAACTCAGAATAAACTGCTTCCTGCATAGTGCAGCCATCTATTGGCATTTTCCCGTTTGTTAATATTAATGTGCCAACAAAATAAATGAATGAATGAATAAAAACATAAATACAACAATCCTTAACAATAATTGTAGACCATTACAATTAGCTGGCGTTTAGAAATCATACAGAGACAAACAAAACATTAGGAAACAGACAGAAAAATCTTTGTTGCTGCAGTGTGCCTACAAACATTTTACACCCTTTTGAGAGTTATTTACAATAAAAAGGCTCGTGTGTTGAAAGAAGCAATGTGTATACGCGCGCTGTAGTGGGAAAGATCTGGCAAATGTGAATAGGAATTCTCTCAAACTTACATGAAATGAGACAAAAATGTTACTGCAAATGAAATTTGAGTGATATTTCGAGGCCGATCTTCCTTCAATCAGTCAGACAGAATGAGTAAGTTGTTAACAGTACGGGGAAAAAAAATGTGGATTTTATGGGATTTCTGTAAATACGAATAAAACTTCGTATTTACAGAAACCAGAACTTGACACTGAAAAGAACGAGGGTTAAACCCGAGGCTCCAGAATGTTCCCATTCCGAGGAAAAGAACGAGGGGCCCGAGCAATAGCAAGTTAAAAAAAGGCAGGTCGCCGCACACTCGTACAAAGGTATGATGTTGTCAGACCTTCGGTTTTCTGAAATTTGAAGGGGCCATTTTAAAAGGACGTTTTCCTGAGGATGCAGTGGGTGAGTGAAGTTTCTGCTTTTTGGATATATTGTGGGCCGTATCCTGCAAGTAGTGCCATAGCAGGCCAACCCGTGGCGAGGGCGGAATAAATTCCTAACCACAAGCCTATCTGCAAAAATTAGTTTAATATCTTGACGTCATGTCGACGTCGTATCAGATATTAAGCTGATAAGAACAGAAAAAAAAATGGTGCCACAACAGACAATGTCGAGCAAATTTTGTTTCAATTCAATTCAATATTTTATAATTTGCGCGAGACTGCACTGTGAATAAAGTTCAATACACGTGGTCGTGTTAGTTGTTTGCCGAGAGATCAACATTGGTATCCGAGCTTGGAACTTGGCCTTGTGATGCAGTCTCATGCCTCTGTCCTTGTGAAGTGGTCTCTTGCCTCTGTCCATTGTATTGCAGAAGCCTGCCTCTGTTGTCGCATTTGCGGGACCCCCGTAAGATGTTCAACGTAGACATCTCTGGAGAAGCTAATCGTGTCGCTAACAATCAGCTTTCTCATAAGAGAAGCATATCGTCTGGAGCATAGGCTGTGTACGACACGATCATTGTTTGGGTCCCAAGACCCAAGAGCACCAACCACAATGGCGTCAACGCGCACATCACTGTAGCTGCGGCGAAGGGTGTTAACCAGTGGACGGTACTTCTCAATCTTCTCCCTCCTAGCAGAGTCGAAGGCGGACTGCCTGTTGTCGAAGGGGATTGTGATATCCAGCACCAGACAGAAATCATCTCTCACAAGGATAAGGTCAGGGCGGAGAGCATGTCCACGGAGCACCTGGTTCTCAGACAGCACGACCCATCTGCCAGCAGCCGCTTTCTTGATACGCTCCACCACTGCATTGTGACGAGCCTGGAAAAGTCGACTATATCTCATACAGTGGCAGATCACGTGTGGAAGAGTCTCAAGATGATAGTTGTAACGGCGGCAGCCACGGGTACCATTCGTCGAGCGTCGGACACCATTCAAAGGGACGAGGTTGAGCCTTGCCCGGTGAACGAATCGCCAATCCGCAAAACGGGTGAATGAGCCATCTCTGAAGAAGTGGGAACTTGTTTTGGCAGCAGCAGCACATTCAATGGCTTTTCCCTGATTAGGATACGAGAGGAGTTTTGTAGTCCTAGCTTTCTTGAGGGCTGTGCGAAGGGTTCTGAAAACGAGATGACGCTTGCCTTGCGAGATCATGGTACCATTGTGGATCAGAGACACAGAGTTGTTCGCAGCAACTTCCCAGGTGACATTTAACCGGCGAGAAGCACTTCTGGCAGCTGACCAGATAGAAGAGATGGGGTTGGAGCTGGTAGCGAGTATTCCATCATTAGAGCCGGAGAGGAAGGCGGCAAGATCTTGCGGTGAGGGAGTGTTGGAGATCCGCTTGGAGACAAGGCGAGTAAGATCATCCCAGGCCAAGAGTTGAGTCGATGGATCACGGGAGGTCAAAAGCTTGAAAGCTCCATCAATTCGAGCAATATCTGAATTTTCCGCTGCAAGGGGTAACCCTAGACATGCCATCTTAGAGTCCCCAAACAGGTATTCATTCGCCGCCTCAGGTGGGAGATTAAGCGTCTGTTTAAGGAGAGGGCGGATAAAATCATCAAGTTTCGCCCAATCAGTCTTCTTCAGGCGTGCCATCCGCATGTCGAAATTCATAGATGGGAAGGCGAAAGATTTCAGCGCGTCAAGGCGGTGCCACGGTGCAAGGCGGGATTCAAGCAGCACTTTGCATTTTTCTATATATGCATTAAGAGCATTTGCATCTGGTGGCAGTTGGAAACCAATAGGCTTGCCCAGGAAAACACCTTCCTCACCGTCAGCAAGAGCATGAAGACGTACACCATCCAGGAAGAAGGGAGTGTCTCTTGTGCCGATGGGGCGGGAGCCAGAGAGATGAAGAGAAAAGCACTTCCTGGGGTTGAGTGCAAGCCCAATTTTGGCAGAAAGTGCATGTACCATGTCCAGTTGTACTTGTAGCTCCTGGGGGATAGAGGCAAGAAGAAGGATGTCATCTGCATAGGCAAGTATGCGGTGGGCTTGAGCCTGGCCCTGGACGACTCTGAGGATAGGATCAATGGCAACATTGAAAAGGAGCCCACTCAGCGGGCAACCTTGGCGCACTCCAGATTCAATGAAGATGGGATCCGTCAGGCCATCCTGGGTGATGATGCGGGTAGAAGAGTTGTCATATAGGTCGCGGATGGTATCGATGAAGTCAGCACCGACGCCAGCAGAGTCCAGAGACTGAAAGATAGCAGCATGTGGAAGTGCACCAAACGCATTCCCAATGTCCAGTGAGGCAAGGCAGAGATCGGATTTAGACGTTCTTGCAAGTTGAATACGTTGCTGGACGATAAAATTATTTTCAAAAACGCCGTCGAAGGGCAGGAAGCCCTTCTGAGCAGGTGATAGAACGTCATTGTTGAGTATCCAGTTGGTAAATCTTCGAGCCAGGCAGCCACAGAAGAGTTTAAAGATGGTGACACTAAGGCAGATCGGTCTCCAATTTTCTGGTGCGAGAGGATCTCCTTTCTTAAACAGTAAGATGGTCCGGGTGTCCTTCCAACTCTGTGGAATCCTCTTAGCACGTAGACAGATGTTGAAAATCTTTGCAAGAATGGTGCACTCAGGATCGACAGATCGCCAGTGGTTATAAGTGAGGCGATCATGTCCTGGTGACGAGTTTTCAAAGGCGTGCAGTCTACTGGCCACTTCAGATGGAGTAAAGGGCGATAAATCCAAAGGGTCGGGAGGAGGATCTCGTGCGGAGTAGAAGGATGAGTCAATGGATCCAACTCTTTGCAAGGCTACGAAGTAGTCCTGGAGGTCTTGCCGGCTGATAGAGCATCTGGCGGAATCTCCTTCTGTGAGAAGACGTACAGCTCTGCGTCTATTTCTTTTGTAAAGCTTTTGGATGAACTTGGGATCGTTGCATGGTGGCGGAGAGTTGCGCAAACCAGTGGGAGTGTCTGTAGGTGGGGGAAGGCGAACCACCTCAGCAGCGGTTTTGTAGATGTCATCCAGGACACTCAGTACATCATCCCAGTGAGCGGAGAGGTCAACAGCAGAGAAGGCGTCCAGACGTTCGTGAAAGTGATCCAGCGGTGAGGACGGTTGCGGCTCCACGGGAAGGGCAGGAATGTCTTCGCTGAAATCAGGAGCACCATGGTCCAGATCAGAAGTGGCGGAGATAGGTGATGGTGATAGAGTATCCTCGCGGTCAGTAGAGGTACGGTGGTTACCAGGAGTTCCGCTTGACCCATCGATATCCATTGGGGAGTGGGTGGCGCTAGGGATGGGCACAGCAGGCAGATCCGGAGTAGAGTTCGAAGTAGAAGGCACAGGCGAGGTAGGAAGAGGAGCAGAGTCATCCTGGGGCAACGTTGGAGAAGAGTCTGTGGTGAATGTTACATGTCGGGTAGTCCTTTCTCGACGTCTGCGTGGGCGGGGAGTAGGAACAGCAGGTACGTTCACACGAAGGCGTTCACGCTTATGCCGGGCTTGGTGATTAAGGTAGCCCCCTCTGGTCTGGCAAGAGAAGTCGCATGACATACACTGCCAACGGTGGGTGATACCAGAAGCAATGAGGACTGGGCGTTCTTGGAAGCAGGCGTGTCGAGAGACTCGAGACATAATCCTTTGATGACAGTGACTGCACCAGTTCTCAGTGTGGCTAATGGTGAGATCATGTGCAACAGCCAGGTGTCTGCATAAGGAGTGTCGGGATTGTGACCAAGACTTGGCGTGGAAGGTCCTGATACAGTGTTCCTCTGTACAGTGAAGAGTATCAGACACAGGGAAGACAAGATGAACAACCGTGTCGCGTCTGCAGGTGGTCAACGGGAACTGGTGGGACGATGCATCGGTGACCTCATCGGAAGGAGCGGAGCGAGGAGCTTGAGATACCGGAGAAGACGGCTGAGCAGGCGATTCAACACGAGACGTCTGGAGAGAGGCATGTACGGGAGGGGAGTCGTTGACTGCAGTTGCAGAAGGAGAGGCAGGTAACGGTGACAGCGGCTCCAAGGAGATGACAGAGTCATTGGCAGGAGACGAGGGTCCAGTAGCTGTGTCAGGTGAGCAGGCAGGATTGATGTTGGAAACCTCATCAGCAGGACTGTGAGCAGGTAGAGCAGGAGCAGAGGAGGTGGACGGAGAGGTGGTAGTCGTAGGAACAACAATCTCTGGTGCAGTAGGCGGGGAGCGAGAACCAAGATCCATGGAAGAGCTGGAGGCCAGGATATTCGGGGCCAAGAAGGGGGTGACAGTAGTCTTTGAACGTGTATGTGAGGCCACTGGAGAAGGCGAGGTCTGCGCAGGCGGTGGGCGTGGCAAAGGAGGTCCATACTTAATGTGCAACTTCAAGTGATGCCTCAGCTTTCCACTTCTCTTGAAAGCCATTCCACATGTTTCACAGACGAACGGAGAGGTACCCATAAACGGCGAGCATGAGGAGGTCGGCTGGGAGGCGGGAGTGCTCGACGAAAGTGCATGCATCTGAGAAGAGGTAGTCCGAGCAGCATCCGAGGGCGAAGAAGCCGAGGAGTGGCGGGCCTGGATCTTATCGACGAGAACACGGATGTGATTGGTGTTAGTGATGGGCGGACCAGTTGGGGTGACAAAGGCGGCTACATGGCGTTTCACTGGGATGGAAGAACCAGGATCTTCAGGGCGGGCTGTCTTGAGAGGCAGTGGTAATCCTCCAGTTCCAGCGGCATGCATCCCGGAAATCGGTAGTCTTCTGGGGGAGGCTTCACCTACTTCGGCAGCAGGAACACGGAGTCCAGCAGAGACCATGGCAGCGTAGGAAACTCCTCCGGGTGTAGCAGCAGTCATCTCGGACAGGGGTGATCCTCCATGGGTGGCATCAGCATCTGTGGCACCGGGTCTGGAATGAGCAACTAC